GTCAATACATGAGAAGTGTTCCTATTTGTTCATTATAACACCAGCCTGGTAACAACTAGTCAATCACGATAGCCTACAATTATTTTTGTCAGTAGTACAAACAGTAGTAGTAAAAATAGTAGTAGAGTAGTATACCCAAAACATCTTCACTTTCGCCGGCTTCCGCTGCATACTGAAAAAGACTGGTTCGCATCTTTTCAATTGAAACAGCAAGATCCTACAGTAATAAACTTAAATTTTACATCGCATTCGCGCATAAATCATGCAAAAGCTCATAAATATTTAATAGATCTATATTCCATCACCGTACACTTATGGCACTCTCTATAAACCGCGGGGCCCAGGAAATCAAAGTGTCTATAATGCAGACCATTCTCTTTAACCATGTGGAAGTTGCAAAAGCAGTCAGAAACAGGGAAACCATCAGTTAGCGATGTTGTGATTAATAAGTCACATATCAGATTATACTTTGAAGGCAGATGCATACTAGAGAATTACAAAGAATCAGATTATAAAGCCTCCATAACAATCTGTTTGTTTCTAATAGGAAGGAGGTTAAAACTCTAATTTTTATCCTTCCTTTTACCCTCCTGTGTTTGAGCAGCTGTAAATACTTTAACTACCCTTGAGTACTAATTACATAAAAATAGAAAAGTTATCCGTGAAACCGAATTTAGATTTAACTTACATTAATAACCTCCATATCATGAACGGTAGTTAAATGGGGGTCAAAACGATTTATCATTTCGGACAATAAATGAACGCTGCTTTCGATGGCCTTCATGTCAGACGCCCGTTTCTCTTCTCGCTCCTGCTTCTGTTCTTCCTGAAAAAGAATAATTTATCTGGCCAAAGAAAAACATTAATCTTGATTTGATTAATTTGATCTTTCGTTTGTCTTCGACCATTCCGTTTTCGTGATTGTCAAGTTTGACACACATAGGCGATGTGCCCTCTTTTCATGCTACTGGGATAATCTAGCTTTATACCGTCTGCGATGACGCCGGTTTCTCGCACGTATTTGAGACCGAACTCACAACGTATGATGCAGATCCAGCATTATTGCTTGGCCTTTGGCTCGATGGTCCTGACATGCACCAGCTCGCTCAGTGATAACTCTTCAAGTTCTGAATACCAGCCGTTTTCCACGTTTTTGAGCAATGCTCCGCAGGTGTCGCTTAGAAGCTACACACATGCAGCAATAGTACCGACGATAATTTTCCATAATTTGCATCGTCTGCTACTTGCCTATAACCGGTTTCTGAGTGTTTCTTCTATCAGTCGCCTACGCTAACCGCTTTTTCAGAGACCTCTATGCATGCAAACCGGTTCGATTTGGATACCAATG